TACAAGTGAACACTAAAAGAAAACAAAATTGTACAAATGTATGAAATATTTAAAATGACTAACCCTATTCTAATAGAACAATCTCAACTTTAATAAATTTAAACAAATTAAGCATAGCTACATTAGATTTTTGCATACCATAAATACATGATACATTATTACTTTATGCTGATAATTTTATAGCTGTACAATATTACTTGACAATTAAGAGTTTAAATTATTTTAATAAATAATTTAGTCGATACTTAATTCAACGAAATAGATGATATTATAATTGTAGGTTTTGTGCAATGTCAAGCACATTTAAATCACAAATATGATTATGTGTTAATAGAATAGTTGTAACTGTATCAATTACTAATAACCCGACTTCGCCCGGGGGAAAAAAAATAATAAATATAAAATACGATGGTTTAGTGTACTTTTGTTTTAGTTAACGGGTAATTCTGCAAATCTGCATTTGGTTCACCTCATTTTATGAACTAGTTAAACCAAGATGGGCAATCCACCTGTGGCAGATTGGATATAGCCCTTGGTATATTTTTTTACCAGGTTTAAATTACTCTTTAAATCAGTGGTTCTCAACCTTTTTTATTTTACGCCCCACCGGTAAATTTTCCAAATACCAACTCGTACCCTAAAATTAGATTTTTTTTAGTGATACAGAATAATTCTATATTTTATTATATAATTAAACTTTGAACCTACCAATATTAGATTACCTGCGAAGAGGTCGATCATTATAGCGTACTCGTATAATTTTTATTGATGGTCGACCTTCCAAAAATTAATTAATTTTACTAATTGTAAAATGGCATAATTATTTTAACAACAAAATTACTATTTCATAACCACTAAAATCCCCCATGCAGTATCTAAATTCTCCTGGAGAGGGGGAAGGAATTACCCTGGTTGGAAACTGCTGCTCTAAATTATCCTAATATCACAACCTCTAAAACTTTTATCAAAATTGGTTAAGTAGTTTTTGAATTTATAATGAACTAACATACGAACGTTGTATTTTGTTGAACCTTTTAATAACAAACAAATAAAATCTAATAGCAATGCATGGGCAAGCCTAAACCGATTTTTGTTTTTAGTTTTATGCATGTTATCAGTGGCTGCTTGGAAAAAAAATATTCGATTTTTGTAAGCAAAAATGAAATGCATGTGGGAGTATGAGCCACATTAAATTTCAAAATTACATACACAGCTATGCCCAAGTTCGTGGTCGAAAAAAATATTTAAAAAACCATACTACTTATATAAATCGAGACAGTGTTTTCCGAGATTATCCCGAACATAAAAAAAGGCCCTTAAATTCACTTTATATAGGTACTTCAATTACTGTGGCACTTATGTAACTATGTTATTCAAGAATGGTGTAACTTTCTTTAAGTGAAAGAATTTGTAGTATCCGTTGGGTAGTTACAGATATTACTTCTTACATTTTATAATGACTTACAGATATATCTATATATTTGACAGTATTTTTCGTTTGCAAAGACTAAATTATCCAAACAATTTAAAGTATCAATACAGTTAATCATAGATGTAGAATACCAATTTTAAGAAATTGGGACTATGCATGTTTTTTCCAACAATTATTATAAATCGTCTTAAATATATTACATTGCCTGCAGTGATGGTGACTTAAAATGTATAGAAGCTAGTATTTTATACAAATATATAAGTCTATACATATTATAAAAATTAAATAGGGGGATGAGGTGACCGAGTGGTCTGACTCTTCCGCTGCGACTCAGCCGGTCGCGGTTCGATCCTCGGCCACCGGGCGGCATTTTTCTCCGGACAAGTCGCGGTGACCGGAGAGCAAGTGCTGCCATCCCCCACCCCCGGGTCATGGCAGAAACCTACGGGTGCCCCATTCGAAATTCTGCCAAAACAAACACACACGTGTTCCCCCCTACCGTACCAAAAACATACAAACCATCAATACAAAAACCTACAGTACCTACTAATAGCTAATGGCCACAGTTGCCGGGCTCAGGATCAATTAAAAAAAAAAAAAAAAAATTAAATAAATATATATAGATATATATATATTAACATATTTGCATAGTTTTTTTTACTAAGCTCTACTTTTAATGGTTTTAGAAGATGCTTAGTTTCATTTTGACGTTTACAATAACAGCAGTCAAGAATGATACAGAAATTAAGTTAATTCATTATTTGAAAATAACGTAATGCTTTGTTCATTAGTTATAATTATGTGGTGAAAACAAACACAGTCTAAACTCGATTGTCAAGCATTATTAATTCCAACTATCGTATGCGTTGATAATTTAATAACCGGATATTATGTTTGGGAAGATAGTTAGGTATATCATAATTTTATTTAATATGAAATAGGAACATTATAAGTGAAAATGCTATATCTAAAATGTTTAACTTTTTTCAACTGGATCATTTGTTTTTAAGGATTAGTCTGTATAAAGATTAATATTAAAATATGAATTCTACAGAAAATGTAGATAGTTTTTACAAAATGTATATTATTATGTGGCTTGGTGAGGCTCGGTCGTACGCTGGATCTGGAAAAACTCTGAGTGTGTGTGCCGGCCGGCGTTGATAGCTCCAGGATGGGTGACCACCAGGGATTCATAGCTACAAAATCCTTGTCACACATACAATAGGTGTTTGAAAACCAACCGTTCCCCCCTACAAACTAAACAGCTAATGGACATAGTTGAAGAGCTAGAGTTCAATTAAAAATATATACATCTATATTATTAAAAATTTTGCTCATTTTATGATTTGCTATTTATTTTTCATAAGAATTAGTCTTCATTTTCAACATTATAGTATTATATTTAGGTTAAAAACAATTAAAAGTTACCTAATACGTGAAGGTTAAAATACCAAGTATCCTATAAAATAATATTGTATTAAAAAATTTTAAAATGGTATTCTAATTTACTCAAAATTATAATATATTGATACTTTTTTTTGATCAATCGGTTTTTATATAATATCAAGTACATATTTTTTTTCGACGATTATAAAAACATCCGAGAATCTTATGTGACAACATAAATCGTAAATTATCAAGCTCCAGATCTATTGATTCTAAGCGTACTGCAGTGTATGAATTTGTCAGAGGTTCAAAATACTTGGCAATGGCTCAAACTTATTTGAATAGCGTTTGAAACTGGTGGATGAGTTAACGAGTACCAAAAAAAAAATGGAAAAATCTGAGCTATAATGATTTCTAACGAGATATCGCACTATAGGGACCAGTGATATTATACTCCAAAAAGTCAATCTGGTTGAGCATTGCCTTTAATCGTCTTATCCTAATCCCCGATTATATTTTTCTTAATCATACTTAAGAAGTCTGAATAGGTATGTTAGCAAATATTTTCATTGAACGAATTCCAAACGAGATGAGTAGGACATATCATATAATATATTATATACTTCCATACTCAACGTATTAATATTGGAACCATACTATAGTGTAGATATAGTATAATATATGTGTATAAAATAGGACACTTATTTTTAACAAAGAGTTACGATCATAATTTATAATCTTTATTTAATGAACATACATTTCTATACGTCAATAAATATTTCAAATAGTATTATTAAGTATTTAAATTTTTTATCCTTCGTTTTAAATGATAATATTACGACTAAATACCTACATAGATTATATTTTTAATTTATAGTGTATACTTCAATGCAACATGCTGTTTCAAGTGTCAAATCTGATGTGTTATCTTGGTTTGCTTTAATTTAATTGAATTTGCATCAATGCACCATGTTTCAATTAGATCTATTGCATTATACATGTCTTTGAAAAGTTTTAGATTTTTGTAGCAAATAAAAAAAATCATATTGGGGTAAATTCATAGAAAAACTCGTTATTGTTTTTGATGAAACAGACTTTCGATTGATTTAGCCATTAGCCGACATTTTGAAATATTTGAATTTATTCATAATATTATACACTAAACACTATACTCGCACTATAATACAGTATCAAGAAAAATATTTTGTAAGGTTGACTTGAAATTCAGTGAATCGTTGTAAACTCGTTCGGCTATAAATTGATCGGTGAGGTTAATTTTTCATTCTTGATTAAATTACAAACGTTTTGATGGTACATTTTAACTTTGTTTTACTTTCCACAAGCGAATTTTTATTTTGAATGCATAACCAAATCGTGTATTTCACATTTACCTAATTTCTATTGGCCGTACAACGATGTATTTTATTACTTGTAACAAATTAAATGACATAAGTCATACTTCGAGTAAGAAGCATTGTCCATACGTTTTTACATGGGTAAAAATGTTACTGTATTATTATTGTAGCATAATAATAACGAACTGAACTCAAGCTATAGTGGCATATTTAATGATGATATAAATGATCGGAATCTACCTACATTTTGAAATTTCCCAGTTGCTTTCCCGGATAGGTAAATGCATAAACATGCAACAAATTATTACCTTTAGGGAAACCTAGAGGAAGACCCGAGTTTGAATCCCAACGAGGATTGCATTTCTAGAGAGAAAACTTTTTCAATACTTCCAACTTTTAGATAACACTATATGTGCACACATACAATTTCTTTATATCAACTCGGGATAAAAATTTACGTGATTATATTTATTTTAGCTTTTAAGAAGAAAGTAGAAAGTAATGATACGACACTGGCATGTGGTAGAATAAGAGTAAAGTGACACAAATTTCTAACCTAACTCAGTCTTTTTATATTTTTTTATTTCTCGATAATTTAAAAAAAAACATATTTTATCTTTACCCAATACTAACATCGTTTATATATTATTATGTTGTGTAAAATGTAACAGTATTCACACATGTTTGTATTTTAAAATATACCTTTGATTTACTTTATTATATGTACGTAACACTGTGCGCATGTAATCTTTAATGTAAATATGTCCTGTATCAATAATATTATGAACCATTAGAAACTAAAGTCTACGTATTACATAATGTTACAGATATCGTCCGAAGTTTGCACAACGTTAGCATACAGTTCATACCTCCTGCAGTAGAAAGAGGACACGATGTCATGATATATTGCAATTACGATTTAGACGGAGCTCCAATGTTGTCCGTCAAATGGTATAGAGGAAGCCACGAATTCTACAGGTACTCCCCCGGGATGATACCCAGAACGCAGACATTCCCATTTTACGGGCTTAACGTAGACGTAAGTACTCGTTATCTTTACTAATCTGGATCAATATTATAAGTGCTTTTTTAGAAAAATATTTTACCGAAATTATAAAGACATTAAAAATAATTTATGTTGAAGAAGAAAATCAGATACTAAAAATGAAAAATGAAAATTCTAAAATTGTATTTGTCATTTTAAGATTTAATCATTTTAAACCTGTTAAAACTGGCACAACTATATGAATACTTAATGACAATTTGTAAAAGAATTTTTGTAATATTAACATCTTTAATCTAAAATAGGCTATAAAATACTTAGAAGAAACAAAATCTGTGAATATTGAAACTATTGTCGTCTTAATGTTTTTCAGATTTACAAATTCAAAACCTAAATTGAAAATTGCAATAATATTTGTGAATCTCTAATGTAATAATAAATTATTATTTACAAAAAATAGTTATTGATGGAAAATACAAACACCGCGAGACTCTATGTATATACATCATGCGCATAAAGTAAAGCGATTTAATAACATCGAAATATGAATACCCTTAAAAAAATCATGTACGACGAACAGATGTTTCTTTTAAAAGTTTAATAAAACAATCATCAACATAAAATAATTTGTGTTCGGTATTGTGTGCGTAAGAGTAATTATGTTGTTTTTATTTAAGAAATACTAACCTCATTGTTTAGTTATTGAATAAATACAATGCTGTTAAATAATGGTCACGGGACAATAAAAAATCGAGAAAATCTCGTGAAGACATTCAGCTGGTTCCTCGAATAAAATCCCATGCCTGTCATCGTAAACCTTTTTTCCCTCTATCCTCTCCTTGTCTTCCTTTATGCGACTTAAATCGACTTGATTTAATGCGCGTTTCCGTTTTATTGTCAGAAAAGCTTCCGAGTTTCACATAGTCTCGAAAAAGTTTTTTTTTCCCAAGTAATAACATAGGCATTAGGGTCGGTGGACGACATGGCCGGTAAAGGGCACAGGCCGAACAAAAACATTGTTGTCAACGTCGGTAAAACCGTTTTTCCGGTCATCAACGATTGTTACCGCAGATAAGTTTATACGCATCGTGTGCCCGTGTATTTATTTCCGTGTTAGTGTGTATGAAACATATAAATCATACAGTTTGAATAATACATGCGCCTTTTTGTGTTATATTATATTATACTTGGTTCCTGGGAAAAGTTCTTCAGATTCATTTTCTGACAGTTATCCATGTGCCATATTTCCATGTCACCGCCTTCTAGGGAAATTAGTTTGAAAAAATACAAATAAAAAGGGCAAGGAAAAATTCAAAAGTATAAGTAGAGGACAAGTGCTGTTTGCCGGGAACAGCATAATACCGAAAGGAGTAAAACTTTAAATTGTTTTAACGAAACCTTTTCACTAATTTCTATCGTTTTGTGATTGTTTTTAAAATTGATTGTTAAATTTCGTATTGTTAGATATGGTTTGAAAAGTTTCTGACAGTTTTATAAAGCTAACTTTGTAATACTATTTATTTAGTTGAATGGGAATGCTATATTATTACTATGTACCTATACATTTATATTGCATACTAAAATTGTCTTTAATTATTAGAGACAAGACAGTAAGTTGTATCGTTAGGCAATCAAAAATAAAAATAGTTTAATTTGTTTGATAATTATTTTTTCTTACATAAAAATATAACTTTAGTGTCTAGACAGATAATTTACTATAAAAAAATACTAAATTGTCAAGCTACCTATACACGTTGACAAAAAATAAAACAAATACGTTTAATTATGTACGTAATGTATAATCATATATCAAATTAAGATTCAATACAATAAAAAATATATATTTATTCCAACAAAACCATTTAAAATAATTAACTCAAGATACATTTGGATAGATTTTAGATCAATTAACTTAGTTAAAATCTATCCATGGAAATTATATTGATTAGAATGAATAGCATTTAAAATCATTTTATTAGATTCGAATTTAATTATTTTCTTAGTTTACATTTTAGTTACTGTGTTAGAGAGAAAAATGAAATATCAAATGGTACAATTAGTTTTAAATAAATTGATTTCATATTAGGTACACGTAGTATTTTTGTTATCATATTGATTTCATTTAATTTGAATTTAAGACCCAAAATTAATGATACTTATTATTTTTTATTTTATCATGTGTATAGCAACACCATTTATTATTTTTCTGTTTATTTCAAACTTGTTTTTCATTGAAAAATTTTAATTAATCATATATTGGATTATAAATGAATAACATCCTACTTACTGGGTAAGGTTAGGTTACTAACATAATTATAATATTACCTTTTATAGTGTTTAAAAAGATTTTATTCTTAATGGTTTTTGGCATTACTAATATTACTAAGTGCTTAGATCATTCATTAATTTAAACATAAATGTACCTAACGTATATACGACAGTCAAGTAACAATATATTTACACTGAAAGATAAAATATTCTCCCGAGGACGTATATTTCTGAACTACCTATTGTATATTTAGTATATACATATATATATGTTAATGGTTATATACTATACTAGGTATATAAACATACATTGTAATAAAATGGCTTTTCAGCGTGCTCTGTTTATCCTAAAAAAGTGACAATGTGTACACTGTACATGCATATACAAATTTAATTTAGAGTGATTTACTATTTAGAAACTTCCTTAATTTTTAAAAAAATAGCATTTTTTGAAACATTGTTTAATTCAAGCAGCATATTATATATTTAACGTTTACAGCGTTTGTAAAAACTAAAAACTAATTTTAATTTATTTTAGTAAACATATATAATGAGTAACCTAATATCTTGCACTTTTCACAATAATTATTACAAATTTAAGAGTGTTAAGATAAAGGTTATATTGTATGCGAATTGTTGACCACGAACCAAATAATATAACGAAGTGACGTATTCCATGTATATACAGTTAGTAAATAAACAATAGTATGCATTTGTAAACAGTAGATATGTTCAATATATAAAATAATAAAGTATGTTTTATGTACATTCACATTCTAGATTTTTTAATAATTATATAGATAGAAAAAAAAATTAATATTTTACCCTAAATAACTAAACCAAAAACAGTTTAAAAATAAATTATCTTTTTCTTGAAGTTATACTTGACAAAGGTACTATACAGCTTCTAATACAAGTGTGGGCAGTTTGTAAAACAATCTTCAAAATTGTCCAAGATATTTAATCCAGGCATTTGTTTGATACCAATTCAAAATATTGTTTTACAAGTATTATGTATAAAATGTTATTGCTATATTTTTATTTAAATGTTAATCTTATATGATTAATGGCTTGCATGTATGGTGACCTAAAAACCTCATTGTACACTGTTCAGTATACAATATATTGTTTGCCACTTATTTGGTAATCTGGTTAAATAATTTTAATGAAGACTAATAGTATTTTAAACAATTAAACAAAGCGAATTTCAGAAAATATTCTAACAATATAGATGTAAATAACTGTATTTTAAAATATATAATATATTAAGTATCATAATCACACATATTACAATTGAATACAATAACTTAATAATTATTAATTATTTATACTCAAGGTGTTATAACAACTGATTATTTTATTACAGAGATAAATATTAATATACATTTTAATAAGCTTTGTTTTTGGGTAGTTATAAATGTACATACTCGTAGGTAACTGATTTTTATACTTTATTAATAAATTAAATTATATAATAAGATATAGCATATACATTGGTAAAAGGTATTTATTTTATCTATTATCTAAAGATATTCCTAATTAAAATATTCCTAATTTCTACTACAACTCATTATTTCATAATAATCTAAGCTAACAGTAAGAATTTAGTTTTAGAAATATTACATTATTTAATAACAAATCGCCCAACATTTATTTTGTGTGACATAATAAGTAATAACAAATACAAATACAATTTTATATCCTCATTTCTGAAACGAAACATGAGTTCATATTGAATGCGACTTTTTTTAAAACTGTAATTGGATCTAATTGTGTAACGTGTATAAGAGCTTAAATAATAATTTGTATTTTCGTGGTCGTGTCTTGATTTATAAGCTTAGAACAATTTATTTTCTTCCAAGTCCAAAATGAAAAACGAAGAGAAAGCAATGTCATTGGTAAAAGTTGTTTGAGTTCATAAATCTTCATTTTGGGAAGAATTGTGTTGGGTTAAGTATACTTTAAAGACAAGAAAACTTGTTATAAACTTGTCATAGACTTTTTGTGATTGATTTTCAATACCCACCATGTTTTACTGATAATTGCTAACATTTTTATTGTAAGGCTAATTCGTTTGCTTTTTAAAAACACCAAATTAAGAAATAAATATGTTTAATTTTTATTTGAGGTCATTATTGTAGCGTAACAATTGTGTATCGACATTTGATAAAATCTTGTCTATATAAAATATAACATATTGACCATATTCCATCACCTGTTCATCAATATTATCTGGGTACCTAAGTTCTAAAAAAATGTATAGGTACTTATTTATGTCAATCAGTCAAACTGACTATAAAAACACCACAGTAAAATAGTCAATAAATTAAAAATATTTTTAAATTTCCTTGTATTTTCAGTTGATTAATTTAATACATTAATTACCAAATTAAAATATAAAATAATACACATATACTTGTATTTAAAATAAATGATAATAATGATTGTCTCTAAAGTAGTATGCATTCGAAATAATAATTCTATTAAACTTGTTTTTTCCAAAACTTGAATCTAAAGTGTATGTGCATACGCATTAAAATAAAATATATAGGTATGAAAAATATAAGCAAATCTGGATTATTTATTTGTACAGTGCAAATATTTTTTTAACGATTACTGACTAAGTTATGCATGAAAAAATATGATTTTATTGATGTGTATATTAAATTATAATACCTAAAAAAATGTAGGATACCACTCCAATAGAATATTTATTGACTAAAAGCCGGTAGTTTTTACACATTATAAAGATAAATAGATAGGTATCTCTGATGCCTAGTTTATATAAATATATAATAATTATAATATGCTAACACAGAATGTACACAATTGTGAAAAATAAAACGTATATTATTGCAGTTATCTGTATCGAATGCGACACAAGTATTTCTGCGGGATGTTGGCTTCAATCTGTCTGGAAACTTGAGCTGTGAAGTAACAACAGACGGGCCTTCATTCAAAACTGCGCTCGTCTCAAAACGAATCATAGTTGTGGGTAAGTAGGAACTGAACACTGAACAGTGAACACTTTTTAAAAATTTAGTTACCTTCTATGTAATTACATTTTAAGTTTTAAAGAAAATATTTGTATAATATTTGCTAAAAATATTAACATAAAATAACAAAAATAATTTATTAATAACAACTTTTCTAAATATAAGTTTATCTGTATCAGGGATGGGAAATATATCATACAAACACATACATGACTGATTTTTCGTCTGCATTAAACATATGAGTCAATATTGTATTTTAATTATAAATAAATTCAAACAATATATATTGTTTGTCTTCGATTAAAATCCAACTTGTCTAATCAGTTGAACTGTAGTTTGAGTTTGTGATGTCACGTTTATATTTTTTGATTTTTTTGTACACTGATTATAATATTATGTTGGAAACTCCCTATTTAAATATATATTAACCTTTTGAATTAAAACTAAGAGCTTTTTGACATTATATTTTAAAATATATATATGATGAAGATTGAAAATACAAATTTTAAGATATTATACAATTTTACTGGCCTGACATAATAAAGATCTAATGGTACCTTTTAGCAAGTTACCCTAGAAAGAAATGAATACATTGTTTAAACTCTTATAATTTCCCAAAGGGTTGATTTTTCTAACTATGTTATTCCTTTAGGACAAGAACTATCATAAACATTTCAAATTTAACAGCTTAACTATGCAATTATATTTGTAATATAATATATTCCAATGAAGCAAATAAGCAATGACATGGTTATTATCTTATTCGCTTTTTACATTATTATTTAATTATAAGATATTTATACATTTTTTCATACAGTTATTAGTTTTTGAAATACAAAAAAATTGATTTTTGCTAACACATGTGGAATAGTCCGTTTTCCCGTAATTTTATATTTTCAGCGGAGTGATGAAGGTATTGAAATTACAATTTTTGTAGTGCACGATAACTAATAAAAAAATACTTTAATTTTCAACTTAGTAGGTGGTTTTTGATAAATATTTGATCTATTAGGTGTTTTTAATAGGTGAAAATTAAAATTACAAAGTATTTTTCAAAATAATCAGAAAAATCTAATTGAAAACGGGATTTTTTACGCAAAACCAATTTTGAACGAAATCGATTTCGTTTTTCAGTATCCATAACTTAAAAACAATTTACCGTAAGCACTTAAATTTTCGAAAATTCTTTATATTAGCATTTTATATTCATGATAACAATTTCAAAATATTCTCGTGCTATTTAATAAGCAATTTATAAACATTTTACTTTTAAAATTTTTGATTTTGAGTTATCGCTATACACTACACTAAAATATAGTTATTGTTTATTTGTTTTAGACAAATTTATCTTTTTTAATTTTCTATACATTTCTCGCCGTCTCTTGTTGGATTATATTTTTTCTTTTTTCTTTAATATATTCTTTTGAAATTGTTATTAAAAAGGTATTACTAATAATGTTTTATTTTTATACATTTTCAACAGTTCTAATAACAACATAATATTATGGTTTTATAAAATTTGTTGGGTTTTTCGGTATCAAAACCTTCTATATTCAGCGTTAGACGATTTCATCTCCAATTGAAATGAATAATAGATAAGTGAGCATATCGATTCACGATTTAAAGTGCAAAACGTGCGTCTGATGTTCAATGTTTTGGATTTTCTGATTATGCTGAAAACTGTCTCTGAGACAAAATGAAACATTGAAACCGAAATGTTATAGTGCTGAGGTGATATTTCTGTCCAAATATTGTCAAAGGTATCATCATGCACATTTAAAGCGTTGATTTAGCTTTCAAGTTTCAATAGTTGCTTTTACCATTTTCTCTGATACATACGTTTATTTTTTTAAATAAAAAGTCTAATATATTGTCATATCATTTTGACTGAATTTATAGTTTATGTACTAATTTTACTATTTTTCTAGAAAATAATGTTCTTAATGTTTTTATTTTGTTTTAAATATTGGGGTCAATTATGGATGTTAATACTATGTCTTGAATAAAAATAAAAATGAAAGTCTAACTATCAAAATCATGTTCAAATACAAATTAAAAAAAATTTGCATACACTACTAAATTATATAATATAAGGTATTGCGGTTAGGTTTTGTTGAATTTCCATAGATTACACAGTCCTTTGTACTGTTAGTCATTATTAAAATGGGGTAACTTTAACAGTTGTAAATCTATAAATTAATTAATTAATTTTTTAATTAAATTATTTTTCTCACTCAATAACAAATAGCCGGGATTTTTGGCGACACATTGAATCTCGCTGTTAACGATTTATGTCAGTACATAAATTTTACCCCAGCATCATGGCTTTACCAAAGGAGGGGAGTACCGCAAAACTGTTAAACGCGTAAATCTATTTTTTAACCACCCTTCCATAGCTATGAAACTTTGGCAAAAAGCTCTTATTATTAAAAAAAAAACATACGACGAATGAATGCAATAATTTTAAATGTTTGATAATATAAATATAAGTTCGTAAGATTATTCATTATTTAAATGTTATTTATTTGCACAAATAATTCCAATAAAGTATTGAGATTTGTATTAGGTTAAAGTATCATTACAATACATTTGACATAAATCAGTTCTTTTATATATTATATTATATTATAAACAATAAATGTTGTCGGCTAAGCATATCAATAAATTACGTCAATGAATAAAGATTGAGGACCTATTAAATAATAGTGTAATAATGTAATAATAAGTGCACCGTTTTGATATGACTAAAAATTTCCTAGTGAGTTCGCACTAGCTGAAGTTATGGCACTTAGTATTCTTATTACCCAGCAATTGCTAAAGGATACTGGACCACTTTCAATAAATTTTAAATATTTCAAACAATTGATATAATGTGGTAAGTTATAGTACACAAAACGATTTGAATTCAAATTTTTTAAACGAAACTCCTTGGTTTTGTCAATTAAAAGTATAAATAACAAGTTGGACGAAATTAACAATTATTTTAAACTGCACCTCTGTATATTTTTAAAGCAATTTAAAATTATTTTGCTATACTTAACCAACCTATGCTTCATTAGTTTATTGCTTTCGATTTAATTTACTATAGAATTTTATCCATGCAAATGATTTTGGGTAAAATTTCAACCTTAAAAGCCACGCCATTATATTTTATGATGTGTTATGATTTTATGAACACATTTCAAATGATTAACAATTTCACAATTGATGCCAACACTGAAAATACAAAACAAATTTATGATATTGAAATATTTACGAATGAATACATTTTTGTGTATAAAATTTAAATTAATTTAATTTAACTATAAGTAAATTAGTTCATTTTGTTTAAATAACAATAAACAGGGCATTTAATACGTTATTTACCTAAAAAACTGATATTAATAGCAAAAACTAAGTGGATTAATTTTACAAAATTGACAATTTTGATATTCAGTTGTATGTATTAAAGAAAATAAAATCGTAAAATCATACGACAATTAAAATCACTTTTGATTCAACAACAAATATTATTAGCGTATTTACGTGATTACTTTTTTATTTTTCAAATTACCTTTATGTCTATGTAAAAATAGTTTTTAAATCAATATTCAAAGTAAATCACCTGTACTAGAACTTCTCAACACTTCTAAAAACAAAAGTAAATTGTGGACTGTGTATGGATAAAATTTATAATATTTTTATTCTTCTTGATCTATATAGGTAGCTTAAATAAGTTTTTAATTTTAGTCTATCTTTAATAAAGTTTTTAAAACTACAAAAAAATTAATTACATATACTCTACAGAATCACCAAAACTAATTGCTGTCTATGGCTACAATTTCTGTATTAATAAATTTATTTTAAATTCATCCTTATTACAAATTGTTGATTTAATTAATAAAAATACAAAACATATCAACTAATCTATTATTTTGTCGCTTATTTTGAGATGTATTTTTTATATTTTATTCTCGACCATTCAGATAATTAATTTTACTAATTTCTAATAAGCAATATGCCTGAAATAAAGTATTGTGGACAATTTTAATTTAAAATAATCAACGAAAAAGCAATTCCAAAATAGATAAATAATCTGCAGTATAGGTAAAAATAATAAACAATTAAAACACGTTTGTGAGTATTTTTTATTTTATAATATAATGATAAGACATTTCTTAGACTATGTAGACTATATACAAACATGGATATTTACAGAAAGTTAGTATTGATGGTAATTTTTTTATTAATTTACTTAATTGTTTAATAAATTATTTACTGAAGATTAGAATATAAATATTTTAGGCTTTTAAAAATTGATTATTTTACTTTAATTACAACCTATTATGAATAAACTTTTTTATATCACATAGGTAAATTGTCTGAAATTCCAATATCACCAAAAGTTTTTATAGAAATTCTAAGAAAATCAAAGTACGTAATACGTAAAAAAATATTCAATATGATATATTTATTAAAATTTATAAAATATATTTCCAAAACTTTTTTGAATATTTTTAAGTTTCAATCAGAGTTATTAGTTTCACATTATTTATTTATTTATCTATTTGTAAACAATATCGTGTCTTGATATCCTTTCATATAGTATTTTTTCACAGGGAAATATGATGATCATATTCAATAAAATTAGTTAGGTTAAAAATAAATTAATAAAAGTCACTTAAAGTTGTTCGAGAAATTAAACATTAAAAATTACGGTGTTGTATGATTGAGAAGGTTTTACCTTTTTAGCAACACGATTGAGAACGATGTCGGTAGATCAAAGAAACAATATTTTGTACCTTACAATTAAACAATTGAGAACGATATTTCTAGCGACGTTGCCATTTATCTTAACTTTTAGTAATAATTTTTAGGGCAGGGATTTTGATGCAAAGGCATCTTTTTTTGGTGTTTTGAAATGTTGTTTTGTAAGTATAAAATGTGCAAACTGATTTTTTTTTTTATTTTTTTTAAGAAAATGCATTTTTTAGGCATTTTTCACAATTTGTTTATAAAATGTACGACAATTCATGCGATTAACAAGAGACATTTGGCACACTGTCGACGGTTAATGATAAATTATCATAGCTAGGCTTTTACGCTCAAACTATTGCCGTTATATATACCTATATACCATACATATATATTATATATATATATAGGTACAATGATATGTGTGTTTTTTTTTTTATCAAATTTAAAATTTAAATATGATTTTTTTGTTAACAATTTATTAAATGCTTAACTTTAATAGCTAAGGATTGAAAATTTAAAACAAAGTTCCATGTAAGTTTATTTTGTAACCAAAATATAGTGATTGATATCTTATATATATTGTATATGTATTGTATTTTTATTATTTTTATTTTTAATTAATGTGGCAACGTTGCATAAAAGTTAACAGGAAAGAACGTTCTCAATCGTGATATTAAAAAAGGTACGGCCGATAAGGACCGTTCTCAATCGTGTTCTACCTAAAAATTTAAAGTCGAATTATACTCTTTTTTAATTTAGTAGGTTCTCTTAAAAATACAACTCATAATTTTCTCATATTATATGGAATTTAGTTTTTTTTTAAGTTCAAAATATTAATTCAGATTGAGTTGTCTGTCATTATTAAAGCTTTATTTCACAAAATGTAGTATTTTTGTATTACTTATAAAAATTAAATCATATAGAAAAATATTAAAATTTGATACTTAAATTTTGCTCATAAATTATTACCACAAATTGCTGATTCCGAATAATTAAACTATTGAAGTTTAAAATTCACGTAAGCATTGGAATTTATTTTAGTCAAAATAAAACATAACAAAAATACAAAATATGAAATATAAAATGAGACTATATCCATGGTTGGATATATATTGTGTTATAAAAAAAAATATTTATACAAACACACTCATATTATATTTATATACTTTTTGTATGGTAAATCTTTAGTCTGCAATTCTAAAGTTTTATGGTTTAATTTAATATATTCTGCGTTATATTCGAATATTATAATAATTTATTATACATAGTTAATATAGTCAGGTTCAATAATAGCTTTATTATTCTTCTGGGTGAGCTAACAATAACAATTTTAAAAATTGTATTTTTCTGATAATTGTATCTTAAACTTGATGTACATTGTACACCAAACACAATATTTAAAACACGTGAACATTTCATGGTCTGATTTTTTCATTTAAGTGATTTATGTACGTGTATGTCATATACACAAATACACAATAATGTGTGGACTTAAGAATTACTTTAGAAAATTTATTTGACGTTTTTACAACCATTATCATTACAATTTATAACAATTATTTATAAAGCTTTTTATACCACCTACAGAACAAAAAACACAATCGTAGATGGTAAGATTGTACATTTATTTTTAGATGCGTTCTATTCTTTTGAACACACCATGGTTCGTCTTATATTGCTGTATGTTTACAAGGTCAGGGTATAACTTAAGTAGGCAACTGATATAATAATATTATGTTATAACTCTAGCCATCTATTCAATAACTTTTGTTCTTATAAATATTAATAATTTTATTTATATTTAATATCATAATAGTTATATATTTAAGACAAAACTGATAATAAAAGTTATTGCATTTGTTTGTTTTGACTTATTTCAGTTGCATCCTGCATAAAATATAAGATATAACTATAAGTTATAACTAATATAGTTATACTTATTTTTAAAAGAATTATTACAATACAGTATATTTATTGTTAATAAATTGGGAAGCTATAGTAGATCTAATTTGAAATATGTAGATATAATAAATGATATATGGCTTCTCTCAGGTCAAAACAATTTTCAAAAAATGCTTAAATATTTTTGGATTTAAAAGAAACTTTTTTATAAATTCAAAAATATTCATTTTGTAAGAGTTATTTGTTAATAATATGAAGAGAAATATAATTTTGAAATTCGTTGAATTTTGAATGAATATAAAAAATACAGCATAATATTGTAAAGTTGTATCATTCTTACATTTTTTTAAATAACTTGCTGATCCCGTGCAGTTTGTTGCCCGTTAAAAATGCCAACTCTATATGAGACTTGATGGTGATAATGCGATCAGTATATTTTACCTACCTGCTGTGGATTGCGGACCCCGATTGATGAATACTTTATATAAATAATTTGTTTTATTTTTATTTTGATTGCGGACACGCTGATGAGCGGCTATAAGTGCAACTCAGCCACCTTGGTAGGCAATGTGCGAAAATTCAATTGTATGTATGCTTATACTTGATCTGCCCGATAAACCACTTTAGGCAACCAATGAACAAAAAAAATACCAATTTATACTAAATATATTTATATTTCTCCTATAACGAATAAACCGTATATAAACAAATATTTCCTCCGTAAATCTTAAAATCCCTGTTTGAGCAACTCCCCGGGTCGGACTTACCGGGTCCAATTGTGAATCTAAACCATCCAGGGCGTCACCCAAACGCACAAAAAAAAATATATTCAAATTAGTCCAGCCGTTTAGGGGGAGTTCAGTGACATACACACGTACAGTAGAATTACATATATTATTATTATTATATTGTATTATAAGATAAGAAATAATCCAATGGATAATAAGGAACACACTACAAGTTGAAATTGTATGAAATATTTTTATTTCTTTTTATAATATTGTTTAATATATTAACCATGGTTGCATGGACTGCTATGCACAAGTCAATATTTTACATTTACAGTAACATAAATCACACAACTATTTTAAATTTAGATGATTAAGATATTTTAAAAATTATCTTTATACAACACTTAACATCTATTGGATTTAGTATTAGTAATCGAAGTGTGAAAACCATACAATTTTACTGCATTATGTTGTATTTTTGAGAATATAAATTCCTTTCATTCATCCTCAATACAACCAATTTCTATATTGTATTTTTCTCCATATTATACATATACAACTCCACACAATTTATATTTCATAGAATTTAAAAGAAAAAAATTAAAAAAATTAAACTGTTTTTTTTTAATTATAATTTTTAGTTTGTGGAAAAGGAAGGCTTTTAGTCATATATTACCTATACTACAAAAAAGATTACACTACAATATCTGTAATTATATTTTGAATTAGATTTAATGATTTTCTAATTAGTTAATATAGGTACTGTATATACCGATTTAATTTAGCATTAGTTATATTAAAATACAGGTAAATAAATTATACTTATTCTATAAATAGTTTTTAAAAATATTCTTTGTAAGTCTAGGGGTTGTTTTAAGTACCTGTCATATGATATATATAATTATAATAATTAATAGGTGAAATTTCATTTCATTTTAACCATTATTTTTTTAAGTGTTTTATTTGCATTTGTATTTTGTTTGTAAATTGTAATCTAAAATAAACAATATATTACCCACTTAATTTAAAAATAATATTATATGTATTTTCTAAGTGCTACAGTAATATTTCATATGATTATAATTTTGTTTTGTTTCAGAGCTACCAAAATCAAAACCAGTAATTGTGACGGATAAAGATAAATATGATCCAGGTGATACTCTAATAGCAAATTGTTCATCACCAGCTTCTAAACCAGCGGCCAGTTTAACGTTCTTTTTAAACAATATGCCAGTGAGTACAGTAATGCCCACTAAACTACCTATTATTTATATTTAACAATAAAAATATGATTCTTATTTTGGGTTACAATGATTTATTTTTTATACCATGTCTTAGGTACTTGAGAGTTTTGTGTGTTTATTTGATTCGTATGCGAAGTTATATAGTGAGAAGTAGGTGGGGTTATACTATGCATAGTAACTTCTTTGGTTTTTTTTTGACCTTTGACCAAATTTTAAAATTATAGTTGCAATATTTATTAAATAGATTATCTAATCATCTCTCATTATTCACATTTATTCTTCCACGATCTTTGATATAGTTTATAGCACCAAAGGTCATACGCACAATAATATACATGTGATGTATACCTATAATGTTAATAATCACTGTGTATCATAGTTTATAATTATTAACTATAGGTATATATTCATATATTATAAGTATACATATTACAAGTTATGTATGTAATTTGTACATTAATAATGTTTATTATGTGTATTATACATTATACATGTTGTATTCGAATAATAATATGTTTCTCCTGGATTCTGATTGTAAATAGGTAGGTACGTGGGATTACATTCAAATACAAATTAGCAAAAAGTAATTGTATGCTCTGGGGAATAAAATCTAAGTTAAGTTGAACTAAAAAATTGAATATTATTTTACAAACCTACTAACATAATATAATACCTTCCTACATTGCAATTAATTCATTTTTCCAAAAATAAGACTTTTTATATAAATACTTAATAGGTAGCCTATAATAATATAATAGTAAAAGAACGAAGATAGTTATTTTGTACCTATTATTTAGGATACAATGTATAAATATTCCAATCAAATTAATGTATCTAATATGATATTAGATAAACATTACTGTGCATGATTTCAGCTATGGCAATGTTATTTGTAAATATTTATACTTAAAAGTTAAAACCACTGGAGAACCATAAGCTAAAAAGTGTTTTTTTTTATATTGAAATTATAATTTTGTTCATCAATGAGCTTATCTACATTAAACTCATAGAAAATTGTATGCATGTTAAATAAGGTATATTATGCCAGGTTCGTATTAAAATTAAATAAACTGAAACTGAACTTTCAAACCTAAAAGTTGTATATCAATTTTATACAGCATGCATTATTCAAATTATTTAAATGTTTAATTCGTTATTTGTTTGAAATTTGAACTGAATAGTATTTTATATCTTTGTTATCACATCCAAAGGAAAAATCGATTTTCTAAAAAATTATTTATTTTTTATTATACCTTTCTTATCCTACTTCCTCGGCCCACAACATTATAGACATTCGATCCCTTTTAATTACTATACTTTTCAAACTCCCAGTTCTAATTACATCATATTATAAAAAAATGGTTACAAGGTTAATCGGAAACATCAAACAGATAAATTATAATTTAATTATTATCATTATGATGTTCAATTTACATACATTTTAGTAAAGCAATAGTGCATGTCCCATGAATGATGATAATCCTATAATTACCTATAGTTCTTAAGCAATAGTAGATATTACAATTTAAGTATAAGTGTATTACAAACTAACGATGGTCAGTTATGGCATTACAATTTTGTTTTATTTAATTGTACACAAATAAAAATATTATATTGAACATAATCCTATAAATCAGCTACTTTATTAACTTATCACTGATTTCTGGAATGTACCTAAGTAATCAAAGAGTGTATTGTGCATTGTTTTACAATGATCATTTTTTTTCTGCAAACAAATTTTTGTATAAAAGGAATGCTAAAGATTTATCTAACATTTTTCATGATCAAGTATTTAGTTAATAATTAAAATAGTGCCTATTCAATTTCCCCAATAAATTATCTTAGCACAATGATAAAATACAAAAACTATATATATTTTTACAGAAATATCTTTATGCTCCTTATACAGAGTTTAACTTATAGGATTTTTTTTAATTCCATGATTAATAGCTTCATTAAAAGCACTTTTTTCATTATTTATAACTTATTTATTGAACATGCCATAACAAAGGTAAAAAACGCTTATTTTTGACTTAGTGTTCTGTAAAAATGTATTATTCTTGGAGTTGAATATTTCGTATATATTAAAAAATAAAAACTTAATATATCGATGTATACTTGATATTTTAAATATCTATCTCACTTGTAATAACAAGTTTTGGAAGATATAATATAATATTAAATTGAAAAAATGTATTTAATTCTTACTTAGGAATTTTGTGTTAACTTTAATATGATACCTACATATTATTTCGTTTTGCATTATTATGTGATACTTTCCTTTTAAGTATAATCATTTGGTCAGGCGTTGGTTTGATCCAAATGTTTAGTACAGAAAATATCCATTTTGTTATGTTAATTTGAAAATGCAATGTTGGGTATATTATTTTGAACACCTGCCTTTAAGTTTCCTTACCAGACTCTAACTTTCTGCATACCATTATACATACTTGGTCAAAAGCTACGACAATTTACCATCCAAACTTTACCAAAATCTAATTTTGTAAGGTATTTACTTTAATTGTGTGTAGTTCAATAGAAATGTATTTATTATTATTATTATCATTAGATCAAAAGTACCTAATAACAGTCATTATCAACTACTGTATATACCTACTATTAAAAACCATGTTTTCTTTGCTAGTTTCATCTGGTTTCTAAAGTAATTTATATGGTCATAATGTGTGTTTTTTGTAATCAGAGTAATACAAATAAGATTTCTGTTATTTAGTAATGATATATGTATTTTAGATTTTCAGTGCAACGATAAGTGTAATAGTTTTACATCGATATGTGTGGTTTTTTTTATGTGTCTATATCTCTCATAATTTTTTGGCGCTGTATAAATACTTCCATTTTTTTATATACATGGTAGTTTCTGATACAAAATTGAATCTGGCTAGTAATTTTGGAGGGAGGGTCGTGTTGTAAGTAGGTATGGTAATAGGTAGGTATTCAATACTTTTCGAAATAACTCGGAAGAACAAAAAAACAATTACTTGAGAACTAGTTTAATTAAGCAAAATCAATTTTGATTTTTTTTTTTTGTTGATCAATAATGAATAATTGCAATAAAGACTTGAATTTTTAACTAAATATTTAAAATGGAATTTTCTAAAGATAAGACGGTTTTCAAAATGTTGATTATTTTTAAGCTATTTATAGGCATAGAACAATTTTAGCACATCCATTATTGTGATAAACAAAACACCTAATGTAAAGAAAAATGGTAACCATTAACCACTTGCCTATATTTTTTATTTTTGAACTACAAAACAATTTGAAAATATTTGACAATTAGTAGAACAAATTATGAGAAACATTTTATTACATTTACAAGCATCTATCCAAATATTGGACATCCTTCAAAAGGTTAAATGTCAAAAAATTGAACGTCAATCACTTTTGAATTCTTAGAAAATAAGATAATTAATAGAATATAAGAAATAGTTATATTTGAACTTCAAACGCTTAATATGACTTTCCGGTAAACTTATTTTTTGATTTCAGATAGGAAAACTTATGAACAACTTTCAAAATAATTTTAGATTTAAAATTAAATATATTTATGAATTTCTAACTACAAAATAATTTGAAATGTTGACAAATCTAGTCAAAATTTTAATTTACAATGCTCATAATAAACTAGTTATAGTAAATTTCCGATTAATATTTTTTTTACTTTCACCAACAACTTATGAGCAATCTTGTACCTACTAAATGATAACGTTTTCTATTATTTATTTTTACTAAGTTGTTTGACCATCCGAGAACCTTTTTTTCCATAATCATTAAAAAAAACTAGTAAAAACCCAAAATGTTTATGTCTATAAATAAGAACATTTGTTTTACATGACTGACATATATAGGGATTCTTCCTTAGCTTTAAGATATAGCCAGAGGTAAGATCAACGCTGGTGGCAAAATGCTCAATTTATTATATAATATATATAATTTGGTATTTTTTAGTGTTTTAGTTGGTATGCGCCATTTGTTTTTATTATTTTTGATGAATAAGTATTCATTTGTTTTTTTAACGTTTACCCCATTCTGGCAAATTGTATTGATCTTACTCAGATTTTATATTTTATATTTTATATTGTGCTAATTTTGGTAAAATAAGTAGCCAGAAGGTATTCTATAAGTTTTAAGTAATAGTTTTTTTAGGTACCAAATCTTATTTAGTTAGTCAACACAGTTTGTACTTAATAAAAAAAAATTGAAATCTGATAAAAATTTATACAAACGATATTTATTGTTTGATTAAAAAACTTTTTACAAGTCAATACATGTTCGGTATTTTCTAGTTTAATTATATCATTAAAATGGCAACCAACAATTCTTATGAATATTTAGAGATGTCTTTAAGTATATGTGTATGTATTAAGTCATTAAGACAATTATTTTAAAACTCATTTCATATTCATTAATTATCACATTTATCAATACATTTTAAAAGTAATCATCTTATGAATTACTTTTTTAAATAAAATGTATATGTCATTCAGCTCACTGGAGTAATATTCGTATTGATGCAACCTATGCTATGCATTGATGTAGTTTATCATATTTCATTAAAGCTTTCACGAGTATGATAAATACTATTAATCGTACCTATAACATCATTAAACCTTACCTTGTCTAACCTAACCGATTTGAGTGAAGCTGCAAGCAAGAAATTGTTTTCATTTTTTTAAATTTAAATTTTATTCAAACATATAAGCAATCTTTAAAAAGTTAAAACATTTATTTTTGTTTTTCGAAAGATCTTAATTATGGTGATTATATAAATACTAGTTTGTAAATAAAATATAATTACTTATGAAATGTATTTATTTTTATTTTAAAGCAGTAACCGATATATTCAACGTGCCTATTAATACATTGTTATATTTTATTTTTTTTTTAAATTTTTATTTTTTACATCAGTGTATTTTGATTTTGTTATAATTAATAACAAGTTAAGACTACATAATTGAATCTATAAAA